GCTTTTCTTTTTGATCGAGCTGTACGTGCACTTTGACCTTCACTAGATTCAGCAAATGGATTTCCTCCATATTTTGCCATATTAATAAAAAGTTTACCAGTAGCAGCAAGCCCAAATTCTCCTTCAAATAGGCTGTAAGGTCGATTTGCATCCATATTATCACCAAAATTCGCACCATCACCATCACCATCATCATCTGGACTTAAATCACCACCATCATCACTCTGACTTGGTGTTGGACTTGAACTTGAATGAGACACATTCCTTTCTTAAGATTGACATGATCGTTCAACATTCATTTCATTATCAAAATTATCTGCAGGTAACCGATTAGAGTTTTGACCATCTAATAGACGATTTTCTTTCTCTTGCAGCCATTCTATTAGTGGATCATCATTTTCAAAAATATGGTCAAGGCTAATAGGATTAAAACTATTATTTATTTCATCAATGCTCATTCTTTTCTGATGTCTCATCCTCAACCTCATATTATAATAGGTATATACAAGTTTCTAGAGTCTTTCAAACTTCAATCTATTTCTTGCTTTGGTGTGAATACAGCTAAATGTGCTTTAATTACGTTCACAATTTGATGCAGATGTTGTTTGACTAAGCACTTTGATTGCTAGTTTTTGTAATTCAGGAACACAAGTGCCATATATCATCCACCACTCAGCTGTATAAAATTATTTAAATTAAATTTCAATGGGCTATACAATTAAATAATATAAATAAATTATAATTATTTAACTTACTATTTACCTGGATTCATTTGCTTTCAAGCTCTTTGTGCTTGTGGGCTACCAAATGTTTCATGCTTGTCTCGAAATAATAACAACTACATCGATTGAAAATACAATAATAAATGAATAAATAAAAAATAATTTAATTTTTAAAACATAAAACAAATGTTAAAGTTATAAAATAGTATTAAATACTAACCTGATTAATCATTCTGATTTGAGTATCTATCGAAGGTTCTAATCTTTCAATAACTGCTTTTATACCTTCTAATGTTTCCTTAAATACATTTGCAGAATGTTCCACTCTAAATTGAAATTGTGGATTTAGATAGTAACCTAAACATAATTTATAACAATATTATATTAAAGTAATAAAAAATAAATATATAAGCAATTTAAGTATAAAAAATAAACATATTTTTTAAATACCATCTATATTCTTGATTTACTTACCAGCTAAATGTAAGTCAGAGTGCATGAAACTCCATCTATTGTCAATAATCTTTTCATATTCAGCAGAATAACAACAAGTTTGTTGAATTGCTTGTTTAGCTCTATCCACAGCCTCGTAAATAAAGCCCATTGTTGGTTTTTCATCACCATCCACAAGGCGCAACACTTTTACCAAAGGCTCATAAACTTTTATTATATCACCTGTTTTTTTCCAAATATCTTTTCCCAAAATGATTTTTTTGACTTCATAAGCAGGTCTTGATTTTTGTTGTCCCCATTTTGAATCTTTAAATTCCTATATATTCATCAATAAATTTTTAGAGTAATATATTTTAAATTAATATTTTAAAACAATAATATCATAAAAAGATGCTAGATTTAAATAATTGTACTAATTACTAAGTACTAACCTTTGAATTGAACATCTCTCTCAAACTTTGCTTTTGCCTCATTATTTCTTCTAATTGTATGAAATGAGTGGCAAATCGGGTAAGAGCATGACGAAGTATTTTGCTTCCTTGGTGTATATTTCTTCATCAAATAACAGTCCAAATGTGATTGTATATAAAACAGTCACTTTTCTTTGCATCATCCAAAATCCTTTGCCACATTTTTTTTTCCTCCCAATATCTTCAAAGGGCACAAGTCCAAACAATAGCTGAACATGCTGTCCAATACAAAATGTTTTCTCTTCTCCATTAGGTCTTTTTCCTGGCGGCCTTAAAAGTCTTGGCCGTGTTTACAATGACTATTGAACAATGTATTTTCTCACAATTTCTTCACAACTTTCATCTATAATTTGTAGTAAAAGTTTGTATCTCTACAACGAAACACTTAAAGACATCTACAGATTTCTAAATAGTCTTTTACTACAGTAAACCAAGAAAATTAATGATATACATTTGATTCAAACTATTGGTCCAACCATCAAAACATCAAAGTGACACCTATTCATTCAATAAGCTTTTAATCATTAACCCCAATACCCTCATAGAACTTGTTGATACTCAGACTCTAAATACACATCTGAGACCTCATAAGGTGTTGGAAGTCTTACATGTTGGCTAACTTCTACTGCCATAGAAATCAAATTATGCAACCATGGGAAATTTGCTAATTGAAAAGGAAGTCGATCATATATCAAAAATTTTGATACTGATTCACCCATTTTTCTTCTTAATGTCTTTAGAAATGAATCACTTACTTTTAGTTGTCTTGAACTTTTACTTCTAACCAATTCAGGAACAGCTCCCTTTAATGAAAATTTAGACTCATTTGGAGTTAATTTCCTTGTTCTTTCTTCAAAATATTTAGCAACTACCATGAGAGCATCGTCCTTCTTCATATATGTTACTCCAACCACTAGTTCTTTGTCTGAATTCTTGTCTTTTGTGCCACTCATGTTGTGATTGGATACTATCTCGCACGGCTTGTCTAGTAGCAATGTCTTCATCAATAAATCCTTCATAATCATCTTCCCCTCTTAACTGTGATAAAAATTTATTTTTTCTTCTTTTGTTGTCAGCTTTTTTTTTATTTGCTTTCTTGAAGGAGTTTCATCATACTTTCTCTTACTATACCTATTAATAATATAGTTAAAAAAAGAGAGAAAATTAGTTGCACATGCTTATGTAATTTTATAATTTTTATTAAGAAATTAACAATAATATTTTCAAAGAAATTAAAAAAAACATAACATACCAGTAACGTTGGGGCATGGTGCAACATTGCCAAGTTTTATGAGCAATGTGTTCTTTGAAACGTGTTATTCCTCATTTTACAACTTTAACCACAAAGTTTACATGAAACATTTCCTCTTGCATTGGCAACAGGTGTTCCAAAATGCCAACCTATATCATCACTTGACGTGCCCTCTACTCCTTACTCGGAAACACTTCACGTGGTGGCATACTTACTATTTTGTATAAAAACAAAAATAACTTATATTTCGAAATATTAATATTACTTATTACATCATTAAAAATTGATTTTACGCTAAATTTTTTAATTTTTAGTTTTTAATCTTAAGAATATTATTAAATAACTTAATCTTTTTGATGCACTAATTGATATTAATTTTTTTTATCACAAATAACTTCAAATAATTATATAATAAATACAATCTTCAATAATTACACAAAAATAATAAGAATTAATCTAATATCAAAAGAATTGACAATAATATAAATATCAAAACAACAAAAAAAATTATTAAATTTCATATACAAAATTATAAATTAATATCTAACACAATCAAAATATAATATTTGATTTTAATTAATTTTTGTCTAACTTATATAAAAAATTTATCAATAATTTTCATCTACAATCTCTATGTATATCATATTAAATTATTAATCTCTTATTTTTTTTAATTATAAATCTTCAATCCCTCTAATTAGATTTTATCTAAAAAAAATTTCAAAAATTAAAAGTTTTCAAACTTATATTTTAATAAAATTTTCAAACCTATATTTTTTATTTTTTAGTTTTTAATCTTAATAAGAGTAATAGATCATAAAATGCTAAATTTGTTAAGTAACTTAATTTTTTTAATACACTAATTGATATAAAATTTTTTTTATCACAAACAACTTTTAATAATTATATAATAAACACAATCTTCAATAATTACACAAAAATAACAAGAATTAATATAATATCAAAAGAATTGACAATAATATAAATATCAAAACAACAAAAAAATTAAAATTCATATTCAAAATTATAAATTAATATATAACACAATCAAAATATAATATTTAATTTTAATTATTTTTCATCTAACTTATACAAAAAAATTTATCAAAATTTTTCATTTAAAATATCTATATATTATATTAATTATAAATTTTCAAAACCACTAATTAAATTTTATCTAAAAAATTTTCAAAAATTAATTATAAAATTAAATAAAAAAATTCAATCCCACCCTTCAAACACCCTACCACACCCAATCCCTCCCCACCTCCATCAATCCCTCTCCACCTTCTCCCCCAACATCCCACCACGCCCAATCCCTCCCCACCTTCCCCCAAACGCCCCACCCCCAACGCCCCACCACACCTAATCCTCCCCACCCCATCCAATCTCTCCGCGTGCCTAATATATCAAATTTGTTTAATTCTTTCTAGCAAACGGAGACCCTTCTAGAAACGTTCCATTTTTCTGTTCATCTTCTTCTTCGTCTTACATCTTACTTTCTCTGGCTTTTCAGAAATTTTTTCTTATTTCTTTTTTTTTTCATCTCTCATTTTCTCTCACATCCCTTTATCACTATCACTTGCTGACTTGCCTAGTATCTACAGATATCTCGTTCGTCTTTCAAACTCTCACAAACACAACAGATCATTTTACAAAAATTTTACAAAAAAAAAAGGTAATTTAACTTTCTTTTCTTACCTTGTTTGATCTTGAATGTTGATTGAAAACTTGAGATTGATTTGAATTTGAATACCAAAAATGCCGTTTGAATGGTTGAAACTTGAAACTTGATGTTTTAAAATTTCTTTTGATGATAAAGATTTGAGATTGTAAGCTTTATTTTTTATTTGGCTTTTACTTTTACTTTTGCAAGTTTGTTGTTTTATTTTGCAGGCTTAAAATTTTGTTTTTTTGTTAGAATTATTAGATTCGTGAGCAGAAAAATGGAATAGAGACAATAACGGTCCGTTATTGCCGCTATTGCCCGTTACGCCGTTATTTTACGGTTGTTTCTGTCCGTTTTTGCTGTGAATGAATTTCTCAACCATTTTTTATCTATTAACGGTGGCGGAGGGCAGTGCTACCGCGATTTTACAGCCGCTATTCCGCTATCAAACCATTATTTGAATCCCTGTTGACAACCTTCTGATTTCTTGGTTCATAATTGTCGTAAAAGGATGCAAATCCTCGTGATTCCTCCTGTTCATGTGATAAATTATTTGTTAAATGTGTCATGCACAGGCAAATAACAGAGCATGAATGTGAAACTCTTCCTATTAAGAAAATGAATTATCCAAAGTGCAAGGGAACACCTGTTCATAAACATTAACTCAACTTCATCTGCTTCACCGAATATTGATTTGCGAAATAACCTAAGATTTTAAAATTAGAGAAACAATTATGAGCTCGTTTCAATGTCGATGTGTATATGTCTCAGCATGCATGTATGGTTGTAAGCCTACTCATGAGTTCAAAATTAAGGAATGAATAGTCTAAAAGAAATTTTGTTATGGGAAACATCATATCAGTCAGCCATTGATTTATGACAAAGAGGTACTAAACTTTTTAACCACCGAGAGAGCAAAATTAAACTTAAAAAATAGGATCAATAAAAGGGTAATAAATTTAAAAATAAAGCCATCTGCAAATTCAAAGGCAAGATTCACATGTAGTCCTATATCCATAGAATGGAAGCACGACAAGCTAACTACCAACGAAAATTATAAGGAATTGCTATGCATCTTTCAGGAAAGTATTCAATTAACATAATCCAAAAGGACTGCAGGGGAAGTTATCCTTTTAAAAAAGTTCCATCTGACTCTATGAAGCAGATATGTGCATTTCAGAGTCCAGTAGCCAGTAGCATTTTTCGAGGATTTTGACTTTTATTACTATAATAGAAATGTTTATTATTATAATAGAAATGGCCCAAGAAATATAATTGACTTGGATGGTGAGTTTTAAACGAGTAACCAGAAGCTATAAAACTTTTTACTCATTTTAAATACATTTGATTTAATATTTTCATTGAACATAAGTTCTGTAGATTTCAGAGAAGAAACAAGCTAGAAACAAGAACCATTGCCAACTTCTAAGCTGAGAAACCCCATTGAAGATTAAATAAAAGGAGAGAGATAGTTCAGAGGATATGATTGTTGGTTCATATAGCTGTCGTAAAACCACCTGTTCAATATGCTGCAGCAAAGTCAAAATTTTAAGGCAAATACATTTCAAGAGTTTCATTTACAAATTTTTGCACATAGACTATTTTGTAATTAAGGAATATGGAGGATAATTTTATTTGTCAATAAGATGAGCTCCATAAATTGAAAATCATTTTATCAGAAGAAAGGAAAATTATTTACCTTCCGTCTTGCAAGGCGACAAGTGAGAAGTGCTATAACCTCGTGGATAGTTCTCGGAATATTAGTGCCTCCAGCAATAAGCGTTTCCTGGAAAAATAAAAAACCAGATCAAGGGACCAAATCCAGTCATGGTAATTCTAAGCATAGCATGCATTGTGCATAACCTTATTTGAAAATATATGCAGGGTACAAGAACAAACCTGAACTTCTGCAATACCTAAGACATTAATGTTGATGCAGACCCTTTGACATGCAATGCTGTTATAAAAAAGTTTTGTGCATGCCACGATCTTAGAACAATGGGGATGTCATCTTCATCAGCTAAAGGATCTCCAGCTGACTGTCCCAATAGCTCAAATAACAGTCCACCAGCAACTATGACTGGAACCTGTCGATATTTATGAAAAAGATAATTGCGTTGAATTTGATCCAAAATAGGTTTAGACAAGTCACAGCCTTAAAAGGAAAATGAAAAAGAAGAAAGTAATGTAACCTTCTTTTTGACTAGGTGAAGATAATTTATATGGTTTGACGGATAAAATTGACATACTTGCTTTACTTTTGCAGCATAGATTACACCCAGATAGAGACAAACTTTGTGTTAAGAAGCATTTAGACACTAACTCCATTCAAGTCTTAATCTAAACTTACTGGACAGCACACCTCAAGAAAAGTATATAAAATAATCGATTCAGTTTTATAGTAAATTGGAATTAAGCACATACTGCCTTGTGCACCATTGAAAATAAGTTCGTATTAGGATTAGAACAACATCAAAATTTTATCAATTTCAGGTAATGAAGCTGTGATCTCCTTTCGGGTTTAGTATTTACTTTAGATGAGCAATTAAAACCTCCGGATACATATGAAAAAGAAAAATGCTTAATCCACAGTCCTTCCAATATTGACCAAGCAACTGTACCTCATAATATAGGTGCTTCATACACTCACTTATCAGCCCAGTTTCGTCTCACAAAGCAACACTGATAGCAGGATGCATCCTGTGAGCATTTCTTAACCATGCATTTATGGATGGGTGATCTGCAGCAACATGACACCACCAAGTCGGACCAACTGGCCTTTCCCAGTAAGGAGCTGCTAGATCTGCAGTAGTGACATCATCTTCATTCTCTGAGAGCTCAATAGGCTGAGAGCCCCATCCATCATCAACTTGAATTATCTGGACTAGTTCAGAAATTCTGTCCCAAACAATCGGTTTCCAAGAGGTTCTTGGGATTTCTTCCCGAGGATTGAGATTCCTGCTACAATTTTTTTTAATGTAATGTATCTTTAACTGTGAGTGCGGACTCTGTTATGGGTGGAGATTTAGCTAAATTGTTAGAATTAACATTTTCAGTCAAAGAATTTTTCGGTTCATATGCTATAGATCCGCTTCCTAGATGCTTCTCTGGAAGCATGAGTAGACCAGACCTTTGCACCAGATTTTTGCTGAACAGTTTTACGTTGGCCTTGAACGAATTCAAAAGCACAAATAAGTCCATCTGTCCAAAGATCACCTCCTGTTGCATCATTTCGATTGTGATGATTCATTTGATAACCTTGTCTCTTCATTTTATTGCTTATGGAAACTGAACAATCATTACCTATTTTATTCAATTGCACTTTCAACTCTGCAATAACAAGTACCACAGAATGCCTCAGCATTCAAATAACTAAAATCTTAGCATTCCACTGAATTAGGTATTAATTAGTATCTACTTTCCTCAAATAACACAGTTATTTTAATTTCCGATCTTTTACTTGCAATATTACTGATAAATATCACAGAAAGAAAGGTAAATGTTTACATTTTAATCAATCAGTTCCTTTTTCTGTTTATTTCAAACTTCAAAAAGAAAAAGGTAATGTCATTTGTGAAACAGTTCATGTCCAAGATATTTAAACTATAAGTAGTAAATATATATACATTTTTTGGTGTTTGACACTGCATCCAACGCCATTCTAAATCTCTCAATTTTAAACACGACACTCGTCATGAAAAATGAAATATGATAATTTAAAATTTAACAAAATCTGTATATGAATTTAGAAAACGCCAAAACGTATGTTTATATTTAATTATAGACACAAATTGTGAGTGTTAATTTTTATGTTTTACTCGTGTTTTACAAGAATGGTCAAATCTACATCCTACCAAGAGATCATATAACTGTTTGGCAGTAACATTTAAATCTAGGAAACAAGCCAAGTTTGGTCCAACCATTCTCAACCTCTTTTAAAAAAGAAATTCGAACACCAAAGCAGATTATATAGTATATTTTATAAAGAGCAATAAACAGAACAAAGTAAACAATAAATAAAAGAAATGTTGCAAAGAAAATAACGTGAAAAGCCCATTGCTGATCAATCTAAAAACTAAAAGGTGAAATAAGAAAGAATAAGATAAAAATGTGTTTCAACAATTGAGCAGAAAACAACATACCTGAAACTGTTTTGCAACGAAGGGATATCATTTTCTCTTTGATTCAAAATTCAAAGAGGTGAATAAGTTTATGGAAGAATAGGGCTGCACGAAAGTGAAGCAGCCAATACATTAATGGAGAGGAAAAACTGAATGGTGTCTAAGATGCACCGCTAGAAAGAGGTGGTGAGTGGCGAGGTTGGCAGCTTGGCTACCATTTTGGCAACGGCATTGAGTTACAAATACGCACCGCTTCCTTAGTACAAGTAAAAGAAAGGGGAAAAGTCTACCTCAAAACCAAGCTCTTAATGTCCTCTCAAATGTTTTACCCACTAAACCAAAGACTCTGGGACGAAAATTTTTTGTATCCCGTTTGTGACTCCTTTAATATAACTAGCCACATTATGCGAGTCTAATTTTTTTATTTATAATTAATGATATTTATGATAAATTTAATAAATTAGTAAACATAATTATATTTATAACTTTTTAATAAAATTAATTATCAGTGAAATTTTATCAATTAATTTATCGATAACGTATACATTTTATTTTCATAACTTAAATAACAAATCAAATATAAATCTATTCTTTGAAATTTATCTTTATAAATATAATTAAAAAATATTAAAATAAACAATTAAAACATAAAGTTAAAGTTAAAAAAAAAGGAAAAAACCAAGCAAAATGACAAAAAAATAGAAAGAAAGTCAAATAAAAGTATCACGTAGACACCTTCATTTAGAAATGGTAATAAGTCAAGAATGGGCAAGTTTATACTCGTCCTGACATCAGGTTATTATTTTTTACACTAGACTCTAACCTCACATATATAATCTGCATTCAACTAGACTTGAAAAAAATAAATTCAATAATATAATATTCATAAAAAATATTATTTTTAATATAAATTATATTTTAATTATATATATAATATTTTATTAAATTAAAGTATTAAGTAATAATTTTATTAATATAATATATATTTAAATATAAAATTAAATAAATAATAAAATATATATTCTTATATCTATATTCGAGGTGGCGTAACGTTTTAAACCAATCTCCAATTTGACACTAATTTTCAAAAAAAAAAAATCATCTTGCACTGATCTGATTCTTATTTTAAAAAAATCATCCATTGCAAATTAGCAAGTCGAAATCTGTTGGATACATGTTATTTTGTCATTATTTCTCCACTAATCATATTTCTTACAAAATTTATATAGTTAAAAATGCAAAAAAATAAATAAATAAAAGGAAGGGAAGTGTTAAAAAAGAAAAAAAAAAAAGAAAAGTAAGTCAAACAGAAGTGCCATATTGATATTTCAATTGTCCATTTATCTTTCTAAACATGGAGAAAAAAAAAATACTAAAACAGACAATTAAAAAATAAAAAACCCAAAACCCAAAAAAAGAAAGTGTCCAAGCAAAAAAAAAAAAAGTCAAAGGAGGTCACATGGACACCTCTATTTAAGGATTACAATGGATCGGGTTCGAATAGATTTATACTTATCCTGACACTGACTCGTTTTTTTAATAATTCAACTTATCTTCATTTCTAATCTAACTTCGAGTTATTATTTTTTACAATTAGCGCAACTTGACACATAAATTTATAACCCACATCCAATCCACATTAATTTTAAATTAATTAAATTATTTAAAATTTGTATAATGTTCATAAAAAAATTAATATAAATTACATCTTAATTTTTTATAAATACAGTATTTTTATTAAATTAAGATATTATATAATAATTTATTAATATAACATATATATAATTAAAATAAATAATAAAATATATTTTTATATATATCAAGATGGGACAAAACACCTCAAACTCATTTTTGACCTAACTGCTATTTTTAAAAGAAAAAACTCTACATGATTTTGTATTTAAAAAACACACCTATTGGCTCAAGCCAAATTGAAATATATTGAATATGGATTGTTTTATCATTCTTATCTCTATTAATTTTTTTTACAACATTTATCTAATTAAAAAATTTTAAAAATAAATAAAAAGGGGAGAACCCATTAGGTTCCAAGTGGCATCCAAATGAGTAAAATTAATATATAGGATTAGAAATAAGCCCGAGTGATGTAGCTTGGTTCAATTTTTAATTAATTAAAATAAAAAATTTTAAATTATTTAAAATAATTTACAGTTTATTTTTATTATTTTAATATAAATTTTAATAAAATTAAATTAAAAATTATTTTTATATCATCGTTTTTTTTTACAAATTTATTTAATTGAAAAAAAAAGCAAAAGATAAAGAAACCAAATGGAGGTGACATGTAGATACCTCAATTAGTCTCTTTTTGTGTAAAAAATTATCTAATAAAAAATAAAAACTAAAAAATTGAAAAATATAAAATATAAAAAAAAAGCTCTGAAGATGCTACATGAACACCCTATTAAGCTTAGAATATTAATTTTTTAAAATTATGATATCAAATAATAATTTTATTAATATAATCAAATATATAAATATAATATTAAATTAATAATATAATATATATTTTTGCACATAACAAGGGGTAACTTGAGGTAAAGTACCATAAATATGCTTCTGACTCATCCTATTTTCCTAAAAAACCAACCAACATGATTCGATACCGATATTTTACAAAACAGTCATATTTAATCAGAACAAATTGAAACCCATTGAATACCTCATTTTGTTGTAAAATTTATCTAAATAAAAAAATTAAAACAAAAAATATGAAAGGAAAAAAATGAAAGTGCTTCGTGGACACCTCCATTAATATTATTTTCTTAAATAATTTATCTAATTAAAAAAACAAAAAAAGCAAAAAGTAAAAAAGGAACAAATAAAAAATATTTTTAATCAATAATATCAAATGAGTCCAATCTAAATTTTTTAAAAAATATGGAGAGTAAAAAAGGAAAAGAATATAAAAAGAGAAAAAATTAAAAAAAGAAAAAAAAGTGAGTTAAAGGGAGTGATACATGGAAGCCAAAATGTGCAAAATTTGTACTATAGAGAATAAAATTATTAGCTTAAGTGCAGATAACAATTCAAGATGGGTTAGATTGAATTGTTTTCAAATTCTTTCTCAAAAAATTAATTTTAATAAATTTGAATAAAAAATTTAAAATGATAAAATATTTTATAGAACTTTGATGAAATTAACAACAATAAGGAAATTTAAAGCACAAATAAATAACAATAAAAATAAAAAGAGTAGGGCTAAAGAAATTAAATATAAAAATTTATAAAGGTTTGGTTTTTCTCAAAAGGCACTTACGTCATCTCCTTTAGCTATCCTAACCAAACATAATTCACTATATCTAAAAAAACTCACAAATAACCTTTTCAAGGCTAAAAGTACAATCACATAAAAACCCTTAAGAGGCATTTGGTTCGTGAAATCTTGATTCTAGAAAAAGTGTGATACTCGAGGTTTTGTTTGATTTTCAAGGCATCCCATATTCAGATTCACTCGTCTGGTTGAGAGAATCCACGTTTATTAGTTCTTGTATAATTACCATAATCTTCTTGACAAGCTTAAGGCAACCTTTCATTTTGTTTTATTAATAATAAATGCCCAAATGACAAATAATTCCTTTAACAGTAAAAGAAAACAAATATTTTTAATTGGTTGTTGTTTAAATTTATAAAATATCATCAATTAATGCATTTGTTAATATGATTACCTTAGTTATTAGTTTTATAATTTATAAAACATCATCAAATAAGACGTTTGTTCACGTGAACACCTTAATTGACAATTTTATATTTTTTAAAATATCATCAATTAAGACACTTGTTACTATAAACGCTTAATTGATACATTTCTATAATGCTTTGAATACACCATCAATTAAGGCATTTGTTTATGTGAATGTCTTAATTGATTTTTTTTATTTATAAAACATGATCAATTAAGGCATTTTTTATTGTGAATGCCTTAATTGATCTATTCAATTCATATGTAAAACATGATCAATTAAGGCCTTTGTGTATATGAACTCCTTAATTCATCATGTTTTTTATTTTTTAATGCATAATCAATTAAGGCACTTTTTTAGTTGAATGTACGTTTTTCAAAGTGAACGCCTTAATTGATTATTTTTTTTATCAAATATGGCATTTATTGGTAGAAATACCTTAATTGCTCTCCAAATAAAAGGCATTTAAATAATTCAATTAAGGCATTTGTTATACACAAACACCTTAATTGATCATTTTGTTATACATAAACACCGTAATTGATCATTTTAAAACATTTTATTTTACATTCTTGAACCTTGAAAAATCAAATGGCTAAAACAGTTCAACCATAAAAGGAACCATTCGTGTATATCCTTAAACCATAAACCTATTCACTTTCCATTTTTGTTTCTTTATCTCCCTCATCACCATCGATTGTGGTACCCTCAATGCCGTTGCACATTGTTTTAATCTGATAAGTATGAAGTTGTACCTTTTTGTACATTGTTTATTTGTCTATATATGCCACTTTTTTGTTTTTCCTTACTATATATATTTATATATTTATTTAGATATGGATTTAGCGCTGTCACCAACATTGTACATCCTCCCGACAATGCGTACATGGTATTTTTTTCTTGATTGTTTGGTTGGAGTATTATGGTTTGCCGATTAGTTTTATGAAAAATTGGTCTTATATTTTTTTCTCATTTATTTTGCATGGACTCTTATGATATGATGAAATACAATTTGGCTTGTATCGTGTATAATATTATTAGTTTTGTTCTGTGTAATGTATATGGGTGTATTTACTATGTGGATATGTAAAGAGAAAGTTTGGTATATTTCATATAATTCTAATCAAAATCGTAGGTATTATAGCTTTCAAAGAACATATGTCTTCCGCTACTAAACATGTAGACCTTGAAAAAGAGAAAAATTAAGGGGACGTGGTAAATCACTTAAAATGAGTGGGACGAAAATTCATGTTGATTACAATCAAAATGGGCAACTTATGTTAAATAGAGGTGCAAAGTTGGCTAGCCACATTGGAGCTATTGTCTAGCAAAGTATATTGATTACTTA